CTCCTACTGCTGTCTTAGAATTTTAGCTTTAGGTCTTAGTTTTAGATAAACTAAAATAAAGCTAAGAAACAGAGTACTATTTACTTAAAACTGTCTTAGTTTTAAATAAACTAAGGTTTTAAATAAACTAAGATAGTTTTAAATAAATAACACTGTGTTTCTTAACTTTACAGATAAAACTTATACTGGTAATAATAGTGGTAACAATATTCTGTACTATACTTTTAGCTTGTGTTTTATATGTACCCTTCCTCTTTTACTTTTAAACAGTTTGTTAATTGTTTTGCTCTATACTGGTTTTTCACCAAAATAAGCTTTGAACTGAACTGAATAAGTGTCGCAGCTGAAAAGAAAAAAGCTAGTGATGGCAATCTGAGTGAACAGAAGATCTACAAGCCTTCTCTACTCAACTGTTTCCTGTTTTTTTCCTCTCTCCTATGCCAGATATTTCAAGGATGTTCCAATTCTTAGGGAGAAACCTTTAAGTGGAATGGGAATGACATAAAGGATGGAAAATGTATTTAACTGCAAGTGGGATACAGTGATGCTCCCAACTTCTCTCAAAATTTGTGTAAATGAGCAGCTCTTGCAAATATTACTTTTTTCCAATTCCATAATTTCCTATGGAGGAAAATAATACTGCTACTTATTTCTTTCCCTGATGATAAGCCACTAATACTTCAATATATATTTTTGAAAGCTATATAGAGGATCAGCTTCTGTCTAATATGTTTAAACAAAAGCCAAAAATGAGTAGTTTAGATCTACAACTGGGCAACCAGTTTAGTGAAGTGGTTAAAGGCACTGGATAGAAGCAGGGAGACTGTGAGGTCCAGTTCTGACTAGGCATGGAAGCCAGCTGGGGAACTTTGCACCAGTCCCTTTCTCAGCCATAGGAAGAAGGCAGCAATGGTAAGCCACTTTCAAAATCCTGCCAGGAAAACTGCAGGGAGTTGTCCATATAGTCACCTAGAGTCAAGATTGACTTGAAAGCATCCTGTAATTTTAAACGTAGATCTTAGATAAGCAGCATTCTTTCAGTGGTGCCTCACAAAAATAGCTAACCAAAAGTAATTTACTAACTCATAAATTAATATATTAATTATAGATTGAAAAGACATATCAGTGAGGCAGATAAGTTGTTATCCATATAGAACTGTTCATCCTGGTACTTCTAAAACCTGATCTTACAGTTGTAAAAAAGTAGATCTTAAGACATCAAAACTCGCTTATCCCAATGTTTTCCAAAACTGGTCTCATAAATATTGACATTATTTATTATCATTAATTATTTATTTCTTCAGAAGACCTAAGGATAGTGTATTTTATGCTATTTCATACTCTATCTGCATTTGTAGTAAGTTAGACAAAGAGAATGAAGGTTGAAGATTACACAGTGACTGAATGGGAAATCTGAACCTGGGTCTATTTCAAACCTCTATGCACCATACATCATACTTATGAAAAAACCACTTCTTATCATTCTCAAAATGGTAAGCTTAGAATTATAGCCAGGATTGCAGCTTTATTTAAAAGTAGATGTATGGTATTGTAACAATTTTAGAAATCAACAACTTTACCTAACAAAACCTAGAAATATATCTGGTTCCAGAGTGTGAAAAAAAATGTTGAGTCTGTTCTGGAGCGTTAAAATATTAGAGGAAATAGTTTTCCTAAAGTGTTGCAAAATGCATACGTAATTAGTTAAAGCAGACCTTTAACCAAAAAATTAATTCTGGATGAATAAGAATCTAAACTCTCATTTACCTTGCACAATGCCCCAAGGATACTGGCGAGCCTTTACAGCTTTGTTACCAATCTTTATCTCTTCTGTACTCCCCACTACAGCAAATGGCAAGTGTCCCTGAGAAGCAGAGAATAAGTTAAATTGCATGGATGAAACTTGAATAAAATAGAAGATTAGCATATTGACTAATTTGTACATATACTTTATCATGCATGAGAAGGTCAACTTCGCATGCATTACCAAACATGAAGGGGGGGCTCTCTTCTTGGAAACATGCCCATTTGAGTTTCAAGTGTGACATCAGCCACAACCCCAGGACAGGGTTGAGGAGCAGCTATATTTACCTGGGAACTCTTGTAGCTATCAGAAGAGCAGGTTGTGAGACCTTGTTTGTGAACTTGGGGAACATCTAGGGAATGTGTATGCTGATACCTAGTTATACGTCTCAACCTCTGGCTGATAAAGCAATGCTACCAAGGTTCTGTCTCATTGTATAGAGGCTGTTAAGGAACAAACTCAATCTTAGCAAGACCAAGTGGCTGTAGATTGTGGGGCTACCTGGATCCAGAGAGTTTCCATCTTTGGTTCTGAATGAAATTGCACTATCCCAGATAGACCTAGTGCACAATTTGGGGGCCTTGTAGCCTCCCAGCTTTTGTTGGAAGAGTAGTGGCAGCTGTTGTTCAAAGGACCTTTGCACAGATCCATCTTGTGTGCCAACTGTATTCATTCCTAGATCAGGAGGCCCTACCCATAGTCAGTCACCTCTCATATGGATTACTACTATGTGTTCTACATGGGGCTGCCCTTGAAGACCAAAAACTATAGCTGGTCCAGAATGCAGCAGCATAAGCAGTTATGGATACACCTACTTTGCAAGCTGCACTAGTTACCAGACTTCCAGGTATGATTCATGGTGCTGGTTGTTATCCATAAAGCCCTTCGTGATACAGGGCTTGGTTATTTACAGGACTTCCTGTCTCCAATTGCTTCTGCCCATTCTATAAGATCTGATAGAGTAGATATATTTTGTGTCCTGTCACTTAAGCAGTGTCATCTGACAGGGCCCAGAAAGCTTGCCTTCTCTGTTGCTGCCTCTGCCTTGTGGAACAGCATTCCCCCAGAGATTCAGATGGCCCCAACCCTACCTGCCTTTCAAAAGACGCTAAAAGGCCGTTTTTTCCCCCAGACACTTGCTTAAGAGATTAATGTTCATCTTCATTGTTTCCTATTGTTTTGTTGGCTTAAAGTTGCCCAGCACAGCAAGTTTTATGATATTTTATACTTGTAATGTTATTTTTCATCTGGTTATTGTTTATTGTTTTTTATGATACATACTGACCTATCATTGTCGAATGGTTATATAAAATAAAATTAACACTAGATTAACATAAGCACTAGCTAAAAGCAAGGATCTAATTTTATGAATTATTTAGAGTAGCTAAAATCTCAGTCCTAAATTACTGGAAAAAAAGGGGAAAAAAGGATCATAAAATCCCCGTTCTTAGAGAGCAATCTTTCTATTTAAGATATTTCCTGCTCATGAGAATGGATAAGACAGTTTTCTGAGAGAATGGCTCCCCACCTTCACAGGCTGAAACTTGAACAGGAAATTTTTCACAAATCTCATTTCAACTTTAATAGATATAAATAACTGAACCTGTCAACCAACCAGTTGAAAAATTATGAACTGTAGAGATACTTGTGGAACAATCTGGGTTATTCAAGCAGCAATGCCAGAAACACTAAAATAACTGTTTCAGCTGACCTCTGATAACTGAGAAAAATATGTCTGAAAATAAGTCTTAACTCCTGGAAAAAGTAAAGCTATGATAGCTTCAAGGTAGAGTTCCTACTCTGCCAAATCCTTATCCAAACTTTGGATTGGTCACTGTGCCTCTAAACAGTGGCCTGACAAATTTTCTCTCAAAAAGGAACTGCCTCCGAAACAGATGACAGTCCCTTATCAAGCAATTTTTAATGTAAGGCGACAGAACCTTCCCACTGCCACTATAACAAAGGGAGACAACTGGGATGGGAGCGGGGAGGTGGCTAAGCACTATATTAAGTCTTATATTGCATTAAGGCCTGATGCTAGAATATAGCCCACCCAATATGGAATATAGGCATCATCAGAGGATGTGAATTAATATTTAATAAATTCATTACATCAGTAAAATAGACACTTACTTTCTCCTCATACCCTCATAAAACAGGTTTTAGAGATTTATAAAAATAAAAAAGGAGTTATCTTCAGCAGAGAAAGACTGAAAAGGCCTAGCCCTAAAGTGTTTAAAAACAGTGTTCTCTCTCCCTCTCCCTCCCTCCCTCCCTCTCCCTCTCTCCAACTCCATACAGAGGCATGGTGGCTTAGAACAAAAATTAAACTTCTACATTACAAATAAAGAAGAAAATATCCATAGTAATTTCTAAAAATCAGATCAGGCCTGCAGCTGAGGCAGCCACTGAAGAACTCTCTTCAGCATAAGCACTCAAAGAAACTGAGATCTAGAACCTGAAGATGGGTTCTAGCAAGAGTTTCAATGTATGCTGTAAGTGCCGCTGAAGCAAATTCAATTCATATTCCATATATGAAAACTGTCTTCTAAGAAAGAAAAATACATTTATTATAGTTGAATGCTTTCTGCTAAAATGTAGTTGGAAACTGATGAACAGTCCAGAAATGAAAGTACAGTACAGGTAGTCCCTGGGTTAAGAATGCCCAGGTTACAGACAACCCAGAGTTAAGAACAGAGCTTATTGTAGCAAAATTTGAGTTAAATACACAATGATTTGAGTCAAATACACAATGGTTCGAGTTCATTACACAATACTAGTTATACAGTTATTATATAAAGATACTGTTCTGGCTTACATACAACTTCAACTTAAAAACAGACCTTGGGAACGGAACTCATTCTTAACCCGTGGACTACCTGTACTCTTGAAGAAACATGGCAACAGCAGCTCCCATTAAAATGCTAACCTCCAAACAGCTTTCCCCACCAAAAAAGAAATAAATAATGGCAGACAATGATAGTCTGCAGTTTAAATACAGTATTCTTTGGCAATAAAATACTTACATTCATGGTAGCATTAATTTTAGCAATGCTCTCATCATCTGTTGGAAACTGGTATATTTGAACTCCATTACTGACCAGCTCACTCATGATTTTGATCTTAAACTTCTGCAGTTCAGATTTAGAAATTGTATCTGCTTTGGCTATAACTGGAATAATATTCACCTGTTAAAGAAATCATGTTGATATGAAATATGCATACATATAAAAATCCTGGAACATAATTTGAACTTTTTAGATACCAGTTACTATCTCTGAAAAGGTAAGCTGCTTTTTAGACTGCACAATATATTGCCTTTTAGAGATATAAGATGATGCCATGATAAGCTGGACAGCTTTCACCCATGTGTAATTCATTTAGCCTTTGGCCCATCTTAATTAAACTGATCAGGTATAATGCAGGCTTTAACATGACCAGATAAATGTTCTTTTAAAAATTTATGAAGTATCAATTTTATTAGAAATAATATACAAACTTTTCCTTTAAAAAAAAGGAATAATTACTGTCATGAGAATGCATTGGTATTTGCTACATTTTCAAAGAGAAAAATAACATTATTTTGGAGCTAATTTAATGTAAAAGCATTTATTTTAAAAAAGTATTTACATGTACCACAACAAACTGCACTAGAATTATTTCTTATGTTTCTTTTGTTTTCTTCAATTAAATGCTAAGCAGGCTTCAACATCTATGAATAGACAATATTTTAGAGCTTCTGAAGAACTACTGGTAATCCCAAGTGAAATCTTCCATATGGGTATGAATAATGCAGAAAGGTAGCTTTCATGTCTTCCTGCCATTTTGTTAGAGAGATGAGTACTGCTGCTTGGGGTAAAATGATTCTTTTGTACTAACTGTATCAAGCCTTGTAGATGTTTTCTCCAGACTCAGCTACAAGTTAAAAATCAGATCTGCCCTCATCATTTTTTAAACCTGACTTTCCAGCTAATTAACAGTCTTTTATGGCAACTTATCTCTGCCATAATAGTTTCTTCAGTTTTTTTACTTATGTTTGGTGAGAACCGCAAGGGGAAGAACTATATTAGTGCAAGGAATGGATGGAAATATAAAAGATGCCTAGAAGGGAGGAGGCCAAGACTAAAATGGGCTAAATCCAGGGGCCCATTCCACTCCATTTTGCTACTCCATAGATCACTAACAATGAGCATTCTGCTGCCAATTTAGACTAGATTCCTATGCAATGTTTTAGTGTCAAACCTGAACATTATGTTCAAAACACAAACCAGTGCTTTAAAATTATTATTTTACATTATGTTGCTAAAAAGAATTTTTTAAAAACATGTTTTTAAACTGAAGAGATCTATCTCAAATACATAATTTCTGTATCAACTCATTCACAACTGTCTTTCAGATGTGGGTGCCTTGCTATCTATTCTTGTGACATCGTTAGACTTTTTTTTTTAAACCATTCAATGTCCGATTCTCAGAGAGTGCCTGGACAAGTCCCTGCAGTTTCCTTGGCAAGGTTTTTCAAAAATAGTTTGCCACTGCCTCCTTCCTAGGGCTGAGAGAAAGTGACTGGCCCAAGGTCACCCAGCTGGCTTTGTGCCTAGAACTCAGAGTCTCCTGGTTTCTAGCCTGAAGTCTTAACCATACACCAAACTGGCTCTCCATTAGACTTAGTCCACATTAAAAAGGCAGAAGATGACTCCAGACAGGACTAATGTGATGAGTAGCAGCTATTTAAGAAGGAGTTAACTTTGCTCAGATGACTGCCCTAGAGTTTTAATTAACTTGCTTATTCAGTTCAGCTACTTATGATAATAAATAGCAACTGTAAAAAAATGCTTTAAACAGAATTAGCTGAAGCAGTACAAATTAGTATTTAAACATATGTAGAACTTGTTTTTTCATTTCCTCTGAGGTGTACTTCTCTAAGTTAATGTTATTTAGCCTTAAAAGTATGATGAGAAGTTGCTTTAAATAGCATGGAACATCTTGCTTAATAGAATGGCAGCACAAAGATTATTTCACTGCTGAAAGCACTTATACAAAGCCTAGTCCAAAGCTGTAATATTTAGACAGATCCATATCAAATCAATATAAACTTGAAATATTATACAGACATATATTCATTTCATAGGAAACTAGACTCTAGTTGGAAGGGACTTCACTGGTCATCTATTCCAACCCATCCTTGACAGCTACTGAGATCCAATTTGAAAAGGGGAGTTTACCACTGTTTTAGACAAACTGTTCTGCAGTTAGGGAGCTCTTACTGTTAGGAAATTCCTTTTAATATTCAGCCTGATTGCCTTTTCTTTCAATTTCAATCTTGACCTGTTCTCAGTTTCAAAACAAAATACACCCTCTTCTTCTTGAACATGGCTAACTTCCAGATATTTATAGACCATGAGCATATCTTTCTTTAGTCCTCTAAAATATCAGCCAATGCCCCTAAGCTTGGTGTGATCTGCAAATCTTGTAAGTACAGTGGTGCTTTGTGAACCCTTTTGAATTTTCAAAATTTCTGCATAAAAATTACCTAAAACATGATGTTTTCCACACAAGTCCTAAAACTCGATAAAGAGAACCCAATTAAACAAATGAGTCAAAACATTATACTTGTTCATTGATTGAGGGAAATGATCCAAAGCTATATATTTGTATGTGACAAAAGTATGTGAACCTTTGTTTTCAGTAATTGGTGTGCCCCCATTGGGCAGCAATAACTGCAACTTAAACATTTCTGATAACTGTTGATCAATCCTGGACACTAGCTTGGAGGAATTTTGGCTCATTCCTCCATACAGAACAGCTTCAGCTCAGGGATGTTGATGGGCTTCCTGCACGAACTGCCAACTTCAGGTCCCTCCACAACATTTCCATAGGATTAAGGTCGGGACTTTGACTTGGCATTTCAAAACATTAATTTTCTTTTTCTTTAACCATTCTTTGGACATACAACTTGTGCATTTTGAGTTGTTGTCGTGCTGCATAACCCACATTCTCTTGAGCTTCAATTCATGGGCAGATACCCTGACATTTCCCTGCAGAATTTGGTGGTACAATGCAGGATTTATAATTCCATCAATGATGGCAAGCCATCCTAGTCCAAAGGCAGCAAAGCAGTCCCAAACCATGATAACACCGTATTTCATAGATGGGATAAGGTTCTTATGCTGGATTGCAGTGTTTGCTTCTCACCAAACATAACGCTTTTCATTCAAGCCAGAAAGTTCTATCTTGGTCTCATCCATTCATAGAACATTCTTCCAATAGCCTTCTGGCTTATCCACATGGTCTTTTGCAAACTGTGGACAGGCAGCAATATTCTTTTTGGAGAGTAGTGGCTTTCTCCTTGCAACTCTGCCATGCACAGCATTGTTCTTCAGTGTTCTCTTGATGGTGGTCTCATGAATGGTGACATTAGCCAATGCAAGAGAGGCCTTTAGTTCCTTAGATGTTATCCTGGGGTTCTTTGAGACTTCCCAGAGTATTATATGCCCTGCTCTTGGCATGATTATGGTTGGTCAACCACTCCTGAGGAGGGTAACAGTGGTGTTGAATTGCCTCCATTTGTACACGATCTGTCTGACATGGACTGGTGGGGTCCAAACTCTTTGGAAATAGTTTTGTATCCTCTTCCAGCCTGGTGAGCACCAACAACTGTTTTTCAGAGGTCCTCAGAAATCTCCTTTGTTCAAGCACTGGTACATTTCCACATACCTGTGTTGTGAAGATCAGACTCAGATAGTGAATACCCAGAATTCTGTTCTTTAAACAAGGCAGGACCTCCCATGCTCACAACTGATTATCATCCCATTGATTGAAACACCTGACTCTAATTTCCCCTTCAAATGAACTGACAATCCTAGAGGTTCACATACTTTTGCCTCACATGAATATGTAGCTTCGGATCATCTTCCTCAATAAATCAATGAATAAGTATGTTTTTGATTCATTTGTTTAACTGGGTTCTCTTTATCTAGTTTTAGGACTTGTGCAGAGAACGGATCACGTTTTAGATCATATTTGTGAAGAAATATTGAAAATTCAAATGGGTTCACAAATGTTTAAGCACCACTGTATCCTTTCCATTCCATTTTTTCTACTGCAAAGAGGAGTACTATCTTACTATCAATTCCCAAAGACTTTCCAGAATAGCTAACTCTTGGCAGTTTTCCTGAATGCTAACAGGATTGGTACTCTCCGGAGGGACAGCTCCATAAAAAGCATGCCATGCTTGTTTTATAAGATTATAAAATCCAGTGGCACATGAACAAGTGCCAGATCAGAGTTTGGAGGTTATAAATGAGGGCCAAATAAACTGAAACTTATAAAGCTCTGGATTATCAGTTCCCAGGTCCAGAAAAATGTCATGTCTGGATTAGTATATGAGGTTGAATTTTCTGTGATACATAGCTTGGGATGTTGCTAGTTTCATCGTTTTTATTAAAAAAAAAAAAAAAAAAGGAAAGGAAATATTGAATGCAAAAGAAAAAGGGAAACAAAAACCACAAATGAATAAATTTCTTATGTAATAAACAAAATGAATTTTACACAGCTATTTATTGTACAATTAAACATTTGAGACCACTTTTTTTAATAAGAAAAACATGGAAATTAAGCATATGAACTATAATATACAGTCCCTTTGGCATCTGAGGATTACATCTGTAATAATTAGCCCAATCCACACATTTCTTCCTGAAATACACTTAAATGTTCAATAGATGTGAAATATTTTTGAATTAATCATAATTTTAAATTATATAAATGTGATATATTGATGTCAAAGTGGTCTTCCACTAATGTTTATGTACCAGACATTCCAATTCTTTATGGAATACCACCCTATATATCCAATGTATTCTAACCCCAATTTATAAAGCTATCATAGGTTTACTATTTAGTAAAAGAAAAAAAATCAATCTTGTAATGCTAGTTAAGATGCCAAAGTACTTATGTCTGGCCCTACATCTTGATATCAAACAGTATTTTAACTGAAGATGTTGCCACTCTGTACTTTTTGGCAAAGGGCTGCTGTCAGGAAAATAATATTGTATCAATTTTGAAAGAATGTACTGGCTGCCATTATACCTTCAATCATAATTTTAAGTTAGTGGTGACTTTCAGAGTTCTAAAAGGTTTGAGACTCTAATATTAAAGGCAACATTTCTCCTTGTATATATCTGGCCAAACACTAACATATACCATGAGGAGATTTCTCAAATATGATGCTCTATTTATAGAATTTTCTCTTCCTGAGACCAGAATGATGTTAACATTGGCTTTCTGTTGACACTAAGTGAAGACGTGGCTATTTCTCCAAACTTCTAGATTAAATGGCAACAATTAGTCTTATCCTTATACTCTAAAATATGTTGATTAATTAGCAAGTCCAGGCAAATGAAAATAGGAGTACTATACGTCTGAAATCAATCAGGCTTATGTCTGGTAAGTGTTGACACAGAATTGCAAGCTAAATTTAGTTTAATTTCATCCGGCTTTGTGTTAAAAAGAAAGAAAATATTAAATATGTGTAAAATATTCTGTTCTAGAAGTAGAATGTTCCAGGGAAATGCCCTGTTGTGGAATTGAACCACCTGAAGGACATTGCAAACTACTTCCTGTTCCATATTTACTTCCAGAAAACTGTCAGACAACCCCCAGAATTGCATAGGAGATAGCAATTGTAGATCATGGCAAACTCTTCCATTGTTTTTTTTTCTTCTGAGCACAATCTCGAATGTATCATTAATTTAAAACAGTCCTAATTACAATTATAGTTGAGACTGTTAATAACTAGAAAATAATTTCAGCACACACCTCTAGTTATGATAATGTAGCTTACTTGATAACAACTGTTCCCATTTATTTCTTATAGTCTCCCCTCCCCCCACACCCTGATGAAAGATTGCTTTTGTTTTCCACTACAATTCATCTTTCAGTATATAGAAATACATCCAGATCAGCACATTGTTACTTTTAGAAGCAGCTTGTATCTTATATTAAAACATGTTTAAATTTTATTTTTTTACTTGACTGAAGTTTAGATGTATTTTTAGAGCATACAGAGAATATGCCCACACACAAATATATCAGTGTCCAAACAAGTACTCCTATGATGTTGAGTGGCTGTCAAGACAAAAATGTTAATTAGCTCATGTTTTCTGGTGGTCACTATAGACCAAACCCCACCCCCCCGGCAAAAAAAATCTATTATGTTTTCTTAATTCTTATTTTCCCAAACAGGAAAAATTCATCCTATATTTCCTAAGAGCAATCTTAGATTGCCAATTTATTTAACAAGAAAGGTTATACCACTGGGTACATGTAGACTTTTGACTGTATTTAAGCATGGATTTTGCCACAAACACCAATGCCTTGTATAAAGTAGGTAAGACAATCCTTTCTTGTTTCATAGCAAAATAACTTTGTTCTTGATTTTGTCCCCAAAATAATTGAATACTCTTTCTCAGATACACCATACATAGAGTACAGACCTACTCCTCAAACTGATGCAATGTTTATTTTTACTGAAACCTTCTTTAATGCTAGAACAATAAAATTTTTATTGCATTTTAAAATATCATACTGAATATCTATTTCATGCTATTACTTTATTTAAAAGGATTGTGTGTTTTGCTGTTTTCCTAAAGTTGATTTTAAAAACTTACCTTGCTGTCAAGATTTTTCATTGTTAACAAATCAAGAGTTTTAAGGGAATGCCCTGTGGGTGAAATAAAATATAGGCATACATGGATGCGAGTGTCATGGTAATTATATAAGGAACGCTTAATTTTCAGCTCTTCCTGGAGGTAGGCCTCAAATTGTGCATCTATATAATCGACAATTGGCTGGTAACTAGAGAGAAAAAGGATCAGTTTTAGAACAAGGAGTTAAATTCTATTCCAATATGCATGCACAAATTGGAGAGGATAATAATTATTTTAACAATTCAAATGTACCAAACTTTGCTACACATTAGTAACTCAGAATATTGTAAACTACATAATTGTCTTTTTGAAACCATCTGTAGGGTTCAAGATAGTTAGCTTATTGAACATTTAGTATTACCATAACCATCCCTAGATGAACTTCAAGTTTTTCTGACCTTGCACTCTACTTCAGAGACAAGCAACTCTGCCAATCCTTAAAAAATCAGTGACAATTTCCATATAGCTTTCAAGTCTAGAAAAAGGGTAAACGGACATCTAAACCACATCGTTCTTCAGACTTGGTTTCCAATTTATTTGCACTTGGCTACCACCATCAGCACCTTGGCACCTCTTAGCCTAATAATATACTTTATTAGAGTTGAAAAAGTTACCCTCTTGTAGCTTTCTTCATTGTGGCCTGTCTGGTCAACTGTGGCTCCTGCCACAACTGTATCTTCCCATGTTACCATTTACAATGAGAAGCAGCCTTCTGCCTGCTCACTCTTCAATGTCTCAAAACCAGGCAATTCTGAGTATTAGGAGTCCCTCCCATTCCACTGAATCCCAATTAATAAAGTGAGCTGACCTGAACCAAGCCTAAGCCTGCACAAGGCAAAGAAGAATTTATACTAGCCACCCTGAATTGAACTGGGTCTTTAAGGACTAGCCAAAATGCTGCGGAAAAGGAGGTGTGATGGTTATGTTCATCATACTCTCTTCTAAATGTCAGGCTGGGAGGGGAGAGTGTAGCAAATAACTGACAGGTCTATCAATCAGTCATAAGGAATGGTTTATAGGGATTTTTCAATCAGAGCAATTTAAAGATGCCTTTTTAATTGGGACATACTAAAAAGAGACTATGAATCCTCTCGACAACAGAATCTTTTACTCCAAAAAATGATGGGAAATCACTGGAGAATGAAGCTTCTGCCTGCCTAATAATCTTGCATGCAAACACTGAGCTTCCAAAATAGAACCCCAAAAATGTTTGGCAAGTTTGTTGTGAAACCCACTTCACCTCTAAGGCGTAACAGTATCATGGCCATTAGACAATGCCACTACCAATTTTATTTACACACACACACACTTGCACAAACAGACTCTCAACCTCAACCTATCTTCTGAAAACTGAATTTACCCCTATTTTGGGGGCAACTATGTATGTAAATATCATCTAATTCTGTCCAAGAACAGAAAATGTTTTCTAGCAACACAACAAATCCAAATTTAAAACAGCTTTTTAAAATATAATTCAGCAGCCTTCATTTTTTCAGATTCCTCTAATATTCCACCAAAATTCAGCCCATTGTGTTATAAAACCAAAAACAGTAGAGCCATTTCTTCATGCTAGAAAACCCAAGCTGATGATAGCAGTTTCTGATTTAATTCAGAACAAACTAAGCTGTGTTCTGAAGTCCTACAGCAGGGTCCAAATTTAATCTAATGGGTGCTACTTGTTCGTAGCCATTATGCAAGCTCCCATTATTGCCCATTATGCAAACTGTATAACTTATCTCAATCAGTTTACAATGCAAGGGCAGAACATAAAAGTACTAATCCAAACACTGACTACTGCTTGGAACTGAGAAATCTAGGAAGGAGGAAAGTATATTTAGCCCTAGCTTTTACTGGGTGTGGCTTGTAAGGGACAGAGACCAAGAGAAAGAAAGACAGAGGCAACAGGAACTGGGCAACCTTTGAATTAGGGGATGCTGATACAATTTGGGGAATGAAGAATGACTTGTCATACTAACCAGTGGGGAGAGGTTCCTGGATTTCTGAATGGCAGGCAATAACACATTCCAAAAACTCCTGCCTATGACTATCCCATAGGCACCAGTTCCACACATTTCAGTAACTAAAATTCCACCCAGGTACACTGTACTGTGCCAATTACTTCTTAGAAACTAGCCAGTGATACATACAATCAATGAAGTCATGTCACAAGCATTGATTATTGTTTTGCTTGAATGTAAATTTGTTCTGCAAAAGAAGTGTTTTGTCAGAAACTCTTAGAGCTCCCTTTTTGACCCATTCTGCCCTTGTACCTCCTTCCAAATGTTGTAGCTAAGCTGTTACAAAACACTGAAGAAGAGAGCTAATATCTAATCACAAACAAGTTGATACAAGATACTGATGCAAACTAAGAAATTGGGGAAAAAGAACAAGGTTATCTCATGTATAGAGAAGTGGGGGGAAAGAATCAGTGAGAAGAATGGACTGAGATATGAGACAAGTGATCTTGCATCCTAAGTTTTTTAAAAAGGGAAATGCCTACAGAATGGGGAGGAAGAACACTAGGCTGGACCATCCTATTGGTTCCTGTTTTCACCAGCACCCTCTTTCCTCTGTTTCTGGGAGATCAATGAAGTACAAAGAAACTGCGTAACATATAGCGCCAGCCTGACATTATTTTACAGCTTGAATATATCAGAAAGATCTTGAGAATTTCCCCTGATCTTCTTTCCCCTTTTCTCTTCTCTTTCCTTGAACTAGGCTGCTTAACTTTCTAATCATTTACCAAACTTCTGATGCTTAATTCTAAAATCACTCACCAAAGTTTAGATGTTCAATTTGCTTTCAAACTAAAATTCAAGTAGAAGAAACAATATCTGACCTTTTATAGTAATCCACTAAGCTTTAAGTAATGAAACAGTAAAATCCAAAACTTGTCTGATTCTTAAGCCTCATACAGCTTATTTAAGGAACATAAAGGGCACAACCCTGAATATTGTGGCATGGCCATGCCTGAAAAGAAATGGAATGCATCGCTGAATGAAATATATAGAATATCTTAGGGGCCAATTTGGTAGGGGTGTTGCTGTGATAGTCTAAGGTCACACTTGATAGAGATATCCATGCAAATAGGAGATATGAGGGGCCAATCTAGCAAGGATATCACTGTGATAGCATGGGGGCAGATTTGGTAGAGATTTCAATGGAGAGTGAGGCTGATTTAAGGGATCAAGCAAGTAATGTGGGAGAGGTATTCCAAGTCAGTGGGTGGGCTGACTGTCCCAATAAGTCCCTATACAGACCCACAAAGAGTTGTATGAGTGGAAAGAAAAGAAAGTACGTGTGTGTATATGCCTAGTCCAAAGAGTGGGCATAACACCAGAATCCAAAGAATCATTCAGCTGCGACTCTAAAAGATCTTGGGGGTTTTTTTTAAATAGTTGTTATTTTTTAACAGATGGAAGCTGCTTACAGCTGCCCAATGAAAAAATGTAGTTGACACACAAAAGCCATTGGTCAAATATAATTGTTGATCCTGACTAATACTCTGTTGATATACTAATGAGGAAAACAAAATGTCTTCCATTTCAACATATAAGAAGGGACATAGTTTCCAACTATAGCAAATAATTTGGAAATGCTTATCAGTGGCTTTATTAGATGTTATGCTACATTGTCATCAAAAGTCATATCAATACCACTACATGAAATAAATGCAAAGAATCTAGATGGCACATCAGCAGGTAGCTTATTTGAATTAGGAAATACTGACCTATCATCTTTGTTTATCTGGTCCCCAAATCCAACTGTATTTACAATTGTCAGCTTCAACCGGACATTGCTTTCATGAAGCTCATAGGTCTCAGCTTTAAGTCTTACATTTGGCTGAAAGTGTGTTGACACACGGTCATCAAAAGAGGTATTAAACAAGGTATCAATCAAAGTTGATTTTCCAATTCCTGTCTCTCCTAAAATTAAAGAGAGGGTAAAAAGTACAGTTATACCACAAGTTCACTTGCATAAATATTACAGAAACACTAAAAGAATAACTTCATTTCTTTCATTTAAAAGTAATACAATGAGTTTTGCTATAACTTCATTATGGATACTATTAGAAATGCCATTTCTTTTTGTAATGTTTTTATAGTAACATCTGAACACTATACAATGGCATTTCTCAAAAAGACATCACTTGCCCATTAGTTTCACTCCACAACCTGCAAGAGCCTTCTCATCAAATCTGTATTTCCTTCTGTCTTCTCATCACTTCCATATCCTTGATTCCATTTCAATTTTTCTCCTTTGCTCTATGGGAACAGTATCCAAGAAGCAGCAATTTCTGCAACTTGATTAGCTGCTTTAGGTATGCATTTTCTATAAGACATCCAACTGGTAACTCCATTCAGTCTAGAGATTTTCTTTCCTCAGAAAAAGCCTGTCATAAGCACAACTTTCCTCTGGCTATTGATTGTTCCTGGAGTTTAAATAGAGTAACTCTTGGATCAGCACTCATCTGAAGTAAAATGCTGAAACCAAAGTGTTAAGTTTTATAGAAAATGGCCTCTAACATGCTATTGTTTTGCAAACATCACATCTCACTCAACTGTCTTCAGACCTGTCTTCATAAGTTACTAGCGTACATGGCTTTCTATTCTGTTACTCCCATATCAATCCTCTAAAGTAGAATAGGCTGAGAGACAATAGCTGAACAAACTCAATAAGCTCATAATGATTGATATAAGCTGAAATGTCAATTTTAATCAATCATATCTATCACTAAACTATACTGTTTAACTCATATTAGCATACTTTTCATAATCATTAGGTTTATAGCTTATCCTGGACTGCTTCAGATGAGGTTCTGAATTTAAAAAGGAGCAATAATATTTATTAAGAGTTTTATTTGCAAATAATTCACTAATTTCTTTTAATTCTGAAGTATTTCCTGAAAATACTTAGAAAAATGTTTAGGAATGCTCTGTAGGATGGAATAGCATTTTCATTAAATAAACACAAAGGCTATAAAAGTTATTGTTAACTATCGAAATAAACTGATGTGGAATTATTGATAACCATAAATAAATACTAAGCCATCAAGAGATTACCCAAGGTTTGTGATGCTTAAAGGGTAAAAACAATTGAGGAATATAAAGTATTTAAGGAATTAAATGTATTTAATTAAGCAAATTAAAGAATTTAAAATAAACTTAGTTATTTCACCTTTGAAGCAGTATCCAATGATCAGTATTAATATCTTTGTCACTTTCATTGCTTCAGACTTTTCAACAGTATTCATTTGTCACTTTCATTGCTTCAGACTTTTCAACAGTATTCATTTAAATTAATTTACACTCTTGACAGCTAAATTACTTACCAATACTGAGAATGTTGAAGCAAAATCCCTGATGGATAGATTTGTTAACCAACTGATCTGGTAAACTATCAAAACCAACATGGCCAGACAAGAATAAGGATCGACAATTCTGCTGAAGTGAAACAGTAAAAAATATTGAGGTATAAGACTGCAATACAATATCTATGATACTAGTAAAGATTGCCAAATGTAAACATAATACTCTACATATTAACAGTTTTCATAATATGCCATTTGGTTTAATTTTTTCAACCAAATAAAAATCACAGTTAATCTGCCAACAGAGTTTAAAAACCTACATGACTGTTACTAATCTGCTGCACAGCTACTACAGAATATTCTTTCTTTATCACCCCAAGGTATTTACTGAAAGAGTAATCATTTCCAGTTCTTGAATAAGTAGTAGCATATACCAACAAGCTCAACAACACTATTCAATGAGAGGCATGTTTAGATTCCTATCATTCTATTCTCTCTTTTTTTGTGTCAGTTCTTCTCCTTAACCCTTTCATTATTTCCATCCTTTAGCCCCCTTTTTGTTTAAACCACTTCTTTTTATTAATCCCTTCAGAAGCTTCCTGCTCCCTTCTCTTTCCTCCTCCTTCCTTCTTGTAATCCTGTGCATCCTTTTTGGTGCTTATATTACCAAATCATCTGGCCTTTCACTTGCAGAGCTTTAACTTCAATATAGGTACAACATCTGGCTGCAGGGAACACCAAACCAAAAAAAAAAGAAAAAAAATTAATGTCCTCCCCCCCACCCCCCAAATTGGGCTATTCCACACATTATGTTCCCTATGGAATACACTGCTGATTCTCTCAGCAAACTTAATATATGGACACAACACAAGTTTGCATCTGGAAAAATTGACTGGGCCATTTTTTCACAACCGCTGTTATAATACCCATATGCATATATGATGATGTCTAGCTATTAAGCATTTATAAGGGTCCCAAAATACTGATTGATAACTAGTACTGATTGCCACAGACACCAGCTATCCAAAGTATTCTGACACTCTACAAGAGATTTTGGAGAAACAGAACAGACATAGAATCTAGCACTGCTTCGATTTTCCTTAAAACTGAGGATAAGCTGAAAAAAGCCACCTTTTCCATCTCTTAATCATGTGTACATACTGAGAATTTAAGGAAGGCCAGGGACTCTTCTTCTGCTGGACTTCAGAAACGACAAGCCTTATGAATTCTGCTTGCAGTTTCTCTAATGTCTAGTGCTCAGGAGTTACTGAGCCATTTCATTCCCTAAAGTGTCAACAGATATAGAGAACTTCAGGAACTTCTGGTGTTTTGTTTCCCATGATCAGCACTGTGAAAAACGTCTTAGTTCTGAGACATCTTTATTTATTTATTCATACAACTTATATGTTGCTCCAGTTCTAGAGACTCTGAGCAGCTTGTAATATTAATGTCAGAGGAAGATTTTTTAAAATAATATTTTATTGAGATTTTAAAGATACATATTTAAAAGTTAGAAATGAAAAGGAAACTTTAAAATACAAAATATAAAGAAAAGGAAAAGTGAGGTAAAGGAAAAGGAAAAAAGATATGAAAAGTAGATAACTTCCGATCTATCTCTGGTCTTAGAAATAATAAGTGCTGGTTTTTAATACATTAAATAGGAATAGTAATTCTTTGTCTAAATGTATCCCATTACATTTATAATCTAATCTTCAAATCCCCATGTAAGCTTCACCCCACCTGCATTTT